ATGTTATATAACTCTTCTTTGACAATGTTAATGTCAGCATATATATGATGTCTCAGTCACGCTTAATGCCTCACCATTACCTGGCATAACGTTATTAACCTGTATGTTACTTTAAAAAATGTGCAGTTCTCTTATACGCCACAGTACTGTGCCTTGTGAAATATCTGTACCTACTGTTGTGGCAAAACACGCATGTCTGTAAAAATGTTTGCACAACAAAAATAAAGAATTAAATAAAATAAAATAAAAAATAAACAGGATAATATATGTTACAGAATTAATTACAACTAATGGTTTTTTTGAGATGCATTTAGTGCCAGAATCATTACTGGTTTCAGTGGGCAAAACAAAAAATGCTTGAGGAGAAAGGGGTTAAAAGAATTGGGAAGAGAGATAAAAGGGAAATAGCTAGTGGGAAAGGCAAAAATGCAGTCACAGAGAGGAGACAAGATGAAGTTAAAGAAATGGGTGCAGGTTTTAAAAGGGAAAGTGATAGTAGAAAAAAAATACAATATAGAGCAGAGACATGGGAGTATTAGAGAAGGGAGTCTAAACATGAGTTGTTTTGTTGGCAGCTCAGAGAAGTTCAGAAAGGAGTGAGATAAGGAAAAGCAATGTTGTGTTCTCTGCCTGAAACAAAGAGAAAGCGATTGACGCTGACAAAACTCTACTAGGTCAGAGAGAGATTCAAAACCTGTGGGATCAAAAGCCAAAACTTAAACTTATAGTTGTCAAAACTAATAGCAAGGTTAAAATTTGTGCTTAAGGGCAACTGCAAGAGTTAAATAAACTCCCCTCTTAAACATATTTCTGGAGTTGCTGGTCTATTTATTTATCTATCCCAAAGGCCTTGTCAGTGATGTTCAACTGAAATGTCTGTTTGGTTGAGATGCCCACAAGGCAAGCTATTAAACTTTCATTGTGTTTCACCCTCTATGCATACCTGCAAATCATGCTTTCCCACTTCGGCGGGCAAGAAAACAGACTGCAAAGGGCTGTCACACATGAAAATAGCTGAACAATGTGTGAAAGGGGCAGGGTCACCCTAAAGAGGGTAACCAGGCTGGCTGCATGCCTACCGACCATCCCAAATTCAGCAAGGCAGTCCAGATTTTGGGATTCTGTCTCACCATCCCGACTTTGTTCTCTGGTATCCCACTTTTGGGGACCCTCTCCTATACCCCTTATGCAACGGGATGCAGAAAAATAGATGGGCATCTTCTTAACTCCACCCCCCCCATGTACGCTGCTGTACATGTGGTGAAAAATGGAGTAGAGGGCACAGATCATGCTCTTACATTGTATTATAGGGGTTAGGGAACCCCACACTTTTGTTATTATTGTTAATTACGTGTCTGTAGGAGTGCAGCAGTAAAAGGGTTAACATTGTCCTAATTTTGTGTTACCATAGTATCATATTGTTTCCTGCACTTTTTTTTTTTCACAACAGTAATTACTTTATGATGATCATATGCGGTGGACATAAATAAAGGTGGATTGTAAGAAATAGGGAGAAGGCTGGAAACCGGTCGATAAATTGTCACCTATATCTGCTGACTGTTGTTATTTACAGCTTATGGCAGAGAATTACTGACAATATTGGAAAACAGCGGTAAGTCGGGTTGTGGGACAGTTTTCTGAAATAAAACCTACCTATCATTTACATTTAGATACATGTATATCTATATCTATGTTGATATCATTTATATTAATCACCTTATGTCACAGACCTTTTTCATGCATTTGTATTTAAACATGTCCTTATATGTTTACGTACATTGTGTATATTAAGAAATCCCTTCATGCCTTTCACCTTGACCATCGTCACTGGTGTATTCTAACCACCATTTGCAAGACTTGGAGATACACCATTCATCAGATTGTCTCCTCGTTCGAGAGAGCATGCAGGGCAGAAATTGGGGAAAAAAGAAACAGATGAAGGGCCATGATATTGTGGCATCAACGTCTAACCTGATTTTGCCTTGCAGATGCTGGATCTGCATATTCAGCATCAACTTTCTCAACTACCAGCGTGTCTGCAGCAGACATGGACAACCCGCTAGCTAAATCTTTGTTTACAAAGTCAAGACAAGAGTACATGTGCTTATGCTATTAATATAGTGTACTTGCAATGTTGGGAAATATACACAGCAAGTAGAAATAAGATTTTACAAGCCTCTTTCATTGTCTGTTGATCAGATCCTATCCTTTTTTCTAACCTTGCTAAGACCCTTAACAAATTCCTAGACTATAAGCTTAGGATACATTAGAGATAAACTTGACGCCCATATTTTGACATGTAAAAACTCTATACAATTATTAAATATAGGGTTATGTGTCACATTTGTCTGAACGCTATATTTTGACATGATGAATAAAAGTGTTTACATGTACTTGAGATTGAACTGTATAATATAGTAAAAGTACTAATTTAAAGTATTATAAAATATTTTTGAATCTTTAATGCTTTTGTCTAAAGTAGTGGTTTCCCAAAATTTTTAGGTCCAAGGCGCCCTTAATATTTGAATATATTTTCAAGGCATCCCAAGTCAAAGTTTCTAGGTTGTATATCTGTACAGCGCTGCGGCATTTACTGGCGCTATAGTGTAATGTACAGTGTTGGTGTTTGAAGGGATGCTTGTATATAGTTTTAGTGTTTGAATACAGGGGTGTGTTTTTATGTAATGTGTGCGTCTGATTGCAGGGGTGTGTTTGAATGTAATGTTCACTTTTAAAGGCGGATGTACACTTGTGTGAAGTATTTGTGTTTGAGTGAAGAGGTGTGTATGCAATATTTGTGTTAGGTTGCAAGCGTGTGTTTGTATGTTGTGCTGGTGTTTGACTGCTTGGTTGTATGCACATATACTAACTCATACATATCTACAAACTTACACAGATATACATGTGTGTTAACACACAGATACATGTAAATACACCGACACATACACACAAATTCATATAGACACCGACACATACCCATGCATAGATACACAAAGACACATACACACACCTTAACACATGCATACACCGACATATACATACACACACACACACCATGACACACACAAACATTGACCCAGATACACACACTGACATAAAAACACAGACTCTGACACACACACACACGCTGAAACATAGATATGCACACACATACACACACTGACACCCAGATGTGTGCACACACACACGCATGCTGACACACAGATGTGTGCACACACACACACATGCTGACACACAGATGTGTTAACACATACACTGACATATACACACACCCTGACACACACTCATAAACACACACCCTGATACACACTCATACACACACACACACACCCTGACACATACACACATGATATTTTTTATATCTTCTGCCACCCTCCTGTTAGTTTAACTTGTATGTCCAGGAGGGTGGTTTGGAGTCTTTTTTCTGCTAGTGGGAGTGAGGGGTCTGGAGCAACTCCTGGAGTGCTCCTCTCCCCTCCTCTACCTCCTGCACGGTCTCCCGGCACAAAGCTGGGAGGAAGTAACAGGCTGTCACTTCCTCCCAGCTGGCCGACGTTACAGGGGCCCGGTCGCATCTTAGAGGACTTGGCACTCGACAAGGCCCCAGTTCAGCATTTATGTTTTCCCGGTAGCAATGGGGAAACATTCCGCAGCACCCCTGTGTGCACGTCAAAATATTAATAGCAATATTATTTGCATATTTTTTTTATTTCAAATGCCCAAATCCTTTCAACTAGTTCTTAATATCTTCCTTTACTGGGAAGGAAATGCTGTCCATTGTTGAAGCTGGGTGTCAATTTTGGTAATCAGAAAACTGAACGCAATTTGTTTTTATTATTATTTTTTTTGTATTCTGTTATTATGCCCTCAAGTAATTTTCTTTGCATACAATCCACATTCCTAGGGTATACGATAAAAAAGATACACTCACAACACAATATGAAAAAAAGCATGATTGAGACGCATTGAAATGTCTTGAGAAAGTTTTACAATAAATGCCTGCATGCACTGATGAACTACTGACAATATTGCCTGACATCACAGACGTGCTTTTTTCATATGGTGTATCATTTTGTGTATTGGTAGTGACCTAACTACAGGATGCCAAAGCTGTGAGTACAGAGCTTATTGTTATGATACAAGCTGCCTGCATACTGTGACAATATACACTTATTCTGATCATCACAAGGAGAGTTGCACCACTTAATTGTAGATGTGAATCAAGGTAATAAACTATAACAAAAACCAGTGTGTTTTTTCCGAACCTCATTTCAATGTTAAGGCCACCCAGTTCCCATAGAAAAAAAAGGCAGAATGATAATTTTATATGATAAATAGCACTCTAGCTTTATTATATATTCTTCTGTTTTTGAGATTATGAAACTCACAGGGTTATTCATCCAAAGTGAGAATTCAAAGAAATTCAAAGTGGATTTCACATTTAAGGCCAAAGTAGCTGAACTTGACATATATAGCTGATTTTTTTATTTTTTTTTAAACTGAATATTTCTAAATTGGCTATTTTGGCCATAAATTTGAAATTCTCTTTGAAATCTTACTTTAGTGATTAACACTGTTAGTGTTCAAAGAAGAGGACAGTAAGATTTATCTACAACAAGAGTTAAGACATGCACATATGATATCACATTTATTATTCACTTAACACGGAATGTAAGCACATTAAAATTCAACATTTCGGCTAAATATCCTAGTTGGAAATTTTTATTCCAGATTGGCAATTTTTAACTTAGTTAATTTAGTCATTCAGAAATGAACTCACTGCAATTTTGAGTTTAGTGAATAGCTCTGTATAATTATATAATGGTGATTTTTGAAAATCTTATTAAATTTAGGATAAGTGAAATCAATTTGTTGCTTTTCATTACTAAATGATAATGTGTCATACGTTTTTATGTTTAATGTTTACCAGATGTTAATAGTGATGTCCCGAATGGTTCGCGAACGGTTCGCCACGAATGGTTCGCCACGGACTCCAGTCAGCAGACACATTCCAGCCAATCAGCAGCAGACCCTCCCTCCCAGACCCTCCCACCTCCTGGACAGCATCCATTTTGAAGCTGCATTCTCAGTGAGCTGTCCAGGAGGTGGGAGGGTCTGGGAGGGAGGGTCTGCTGCTGATTGGCTGGAATGTGTCTGCTGACTGGAGTCCGCGGCGAACCGTTCGTGGCGAACCGTGGCGAACCGTTCGGCAAACCGTTCGGGACATCACTAGATGTTAAACATATTATTCACAGGATGGCCAACTCTGGTGTAAAAAACATAGAGAACATATACAATTTTTCCAGCAAGTTTCACAAGTATTTTGCAAAGATTGATATCAATTTGTATTGGTGCTACTGATATGAAACAAAATCTCAGTCTTGTTTCATCTTATTCTTTACTGCCACATACATCATTTTCAGCATCTTAACAAACTCTTAACAATTCCTGCTTAAAGGAACAGTCTTGCACTATAAATAAATATATATATTGATCATGATGAAATCTTGTGAATTTTGCTGGGCTCCCCTTTCCCCCTCTAATCCAGCGGGGAAAGGGTTCCTCACCACAGTTCTGCTCCGCCCCACCTCCGGCAGATTATCACTGGGTCTTTAAGAATTAAACTATAATGCTCAACGATGCTCTAATATACACGTGTTTAAAAAAATATATGAACTATTGCCTGGCAAAGTTATGTCACAAAAGGCTGTTCAATTGGTATGGTAAAATATGTGCACACCATTCAAATTATAATTTTCATGACTAATAGGATTAATCTTTCCACATTGAACAATAAGCATACGTATGTTTTTTTGAGAGTTGAATGTAAATTTCTTGGAATTTCAAATGAATCCCACATGTCACGTAAAGAGGATGTCACAAGTTTCCAAAATCATTATGCTATACATGCCCCCTACCTATACATCAGGTTGTCCTAAAGTAGTCACAGCAGTAGTGAGTCCAATAAATGTTTTACATAAGGATTTTGAATTTTATTACCATAAATGTTCATGCTTAACTAGAGATGGCTAGGTATTCGGCATCAAATCCAGACCCCCCATCGGCATTGTGAGAATGATTGCTTACACTGCGTCTGTCCTCCTGGAGACACGCTGCATGAAAATCTATTAACAGAAATTGATCTTCTGGTAAACAACTGCAATTTGACATCCAACTGTGCCGTTTCACTCGCACCATGAATGGTGGTCTAAGACCGTGCATGCACAACAGAAAATGTTATATACTTTTTTAAACAATACTACTTGCTAAATGGGTTCACATTGTTGTGGATACACCTCTAGAGTTGTAAAGGTTAATAGTGCGCAATCTAGATGATACTTATTGATTAATTGCTAAATGCACTATTGTAGAAAAAAATGAAAATCAATATGTGTGAGGATTTGAAGTTAAGTTACTATATGCAATCGGAATTTGATTTAGAACATGTTGCACATCTGTTTTTTTCACATATAAGCTGTGTACATGATTTGTGTAAAAATCACATTTGATATATTCTTTATACTTCAGGATATCTGTGAGAGATATGACCATGATTTTTGTCAGGCAAAAGCTTGATTCACAACGAACAAATAAGCCACCTAAGCCCTTTTAACAGTAGCAAAAAGTGAGCAAAATAGTGCAAATCCCAGAATCACAATGCTTCTACTCTTAGATGCTTTGGAATTTAGGAACTGTGTTTTTAATGATGATTTCTATAGCTGCATACTTGCTAGACAGCAGTGATCCACAAAACATAACACACACAATGGATGACAGTAAGTATGAAGTTAGTGTCACATGAAGTGATAGCGGGAGTTTGAGCGCAGGGTTTAATTTTGTGTATTTATATTTGCTTCAGTATTACACACAGGGCCAGTGCTAGACTACTCATTTGACACAGACTGTCACATACTGACTGATAGACACACACTCACTGGCAAACACACACACTCACTGACATACACAATTGCCGATAGACACATATACACACTCACTGACAGACTCATTGACACACACTCACTGATTTGACACACACTCACACATATAAATTCTCTCACACACACTCACAAATTCATTTTTACAGTGTTTTTTAATACATTTTTGAGGCCCACCCAGCCATCCTTTCTTTGGGAGACCTGATGTGGCTTCTATCCCTTGGTCCAATGGGTCCTGTCAATGGGGGCAAATGCTCCCTTGGGCACAGTTTAGTGGGCTGGACTGACTTCACATTCACATCACCACGGACGACATTTGCGGAAACTATGAGAAAGAGCATAACAATCAGTGCTCCCTTGCTGCTCATACTCAGCCCTTCCTCTGTATTTCAGTAGAGTAGGCACCTGCCATTTAGGTGCCGCCTCTGTGGGGCCCTTAGGTTGCCAGCCAGTTAGCTCACAAGCCCCCTGACAGGTGAAAGATAGCAATTTTACAATGCTGCCGCCAATCCTTTGGGTATCCTATTAATGGTTAATACGTGTGTAGGGGTTAATAAGAAAAGTATTCTTTTCCCATTAGAGATTTTGCCTTGTAGCTGAAAGCAGCAATCTGAATTGTTAGTGTAGAACTCACCTCAAAGGGTTGCCTTGATGTGGCAGATGAGCTTGCACTCTAATAATCATTGGAGTGGTACTACAACCCTCCTGTTTTTTAAATGTGCATTGAGACTTAAGTTATAGTGTGCAGGTTACTTTTTTGTGCTTTTGTTAACATCCATATGAAGTTACTCTGTGTGCTACATTTCTACTGTGCGGTACACACAAAGAAAAACATCATACCACAATATTAGAGGTGTTTCATATGTATTTGTATTTATTTGCAGCATCTTTGTCTAATCATTGCAGAATGTCAGACTTGAAGTGTCATTGACAATGCCCACATCTGATACACACATTTCCTATTATATTGGTTGTTAATAATTTGCATTGTTAAAATCCCACAAGCTTGAAATGCATTCTAAATACATTGTTTACCTCCTTAAGGACCAAGGCTATTTTAAGATACAAAGCATTTGTGACAAAGTCCTTTTTGGAATTTGGCCATGCCTTCACCATAATTTAATCATTTCTGTTTAAGTGCACCCTACATACTATATGTAATTTGTTAAAAGAGAAATATGGCTTTCTTTTGATAACCAATACATATACATAACACAAACTAAATGTGAAATAATTAACACATTTTATCTCAGATATATATTTATTAATGTCTACACCCACTGGCATACTAAGGAGGGGGTGGGGGGCGGGGGGCAGTCCACCCCGGGTGCCACTCAGTAGGAGGGTGCCACACTCTATACCTCCTGCTGGCTCGCAATAATAATACCCTCCTTCGTGGCTCCGGGTGGGTGGCTAATGTGAATTCTATGCCAATGGCAGCACATTACCTAGTGAAAATTATTAATGCTCCCAGCCCCCCCTGTTTATGTGCCTCCCTTATATATTATTCCTAGAGTCACCACTGCTTCAGCGGCTGGTTGTGCGCTGTGGTGCTTTAATGGTGCGACCAGGCTTCTGTAATAATGTTATGGCAGCCCTAAGGGGAAGTGAAATTCAGTCACTTCCCCCCAGCTAACACTGAGACACGCAGGATGGAGGGCGGCACTGATTGGCAGAGAATCAGAGCCCAACAGCCTCAGCCAGCAGGTACGAAACAGGAGGATGGCATTGTGTATCTGTATATGTGTCTGTGTAGCTGCATGTGTGTATATTTGTGTCTCTGTATCTATTTGTGAATGTGTGACTGTGTGTCTGTATCTGCATGTGTGTCAGTGTGTGTATATATATCTGCATACATCTCAGTATCTTGCCAACACTATACATGAACACATCCTTGCATTCCAGTGTAAATACTACATACAAACACACCTCTGTATTAAAACATCACCATTATATATAACCACACCACTGCATCTCGCCAACACTAAACACAAATGCATGCCTGCATTAAAATGCCAACACTACATACAAACACACCCCTGCATTCACTCACACTTACTCCATACAAAAACATGCTTACATTGAAACACGCAAACACTGCTCAATGCTACATACATTAAAAATATGTGTGGATGTTTTTTACATTTTAAAGTGCAGGGGGGGGGGGTTGGGTGACAAAACGAGGGCCTGCCCCGGGTGCCAAATAATAGTTAAAGATCCAAAAAGGATATATTTGTAGAAAGTACATCCTCCTGACCAGTGGTGTATTTTGGATTTGTGCTGCCCTAGGCATGACTAAATTCAGGCACTTACCTAATCTAAATTTGCCCCATTACTTCGTGTCGAGGCCACTTTTTTGACTGACAGAGACACGCCCTCATTGACAAATGCACTGACATACACTTACTGACAGATACACAGTCATTGGCACACACATACTGTTTAAAAAAACACACTTTTACTGATGGACACACACTGACACACCCACTCACTGACAGACAGACACACACACTGACAAAACACACACTGAAAGACACACACACACTGACAGACACACACACACTCACTGACAGTCAGACACACATAAACTCACTGACAGACACACACATTCAGTTACTCACTCACACTGACAACTACACACACTGACATACATACACTCACTGATAGACACACACTGACACAAACATACTCACTGATTTGACACTCTGACAGGCACACACAATCACTCACTCACAGACACACACTGACAGACACACACACTCACTGACAGACAGACACACACACACACTGACAGATACATGCTCATTGACAGAAACAGACACAAACACACACTCACTGACAGTCACACACACACACTGACAGACAGGCCCACACTCACTGACAGACACACACACACGCACTCACTGACAGACACACACACTCGCTGACAGACACACACACTCACTGACAGGCACACACACACACACACACTCTCTGACAGACACACACTGTCTGACAGACAAACACATACACTCTGACAGACACACACTGACATACACACACTCTCACTGACTGACACACACTCACTGACATACACAGACACAAACTCACTGACAGACTCAGACACACACATTATCAAACATTGACAGACAGACACACACAGGTGGGTGGGCAGGTGCTCAATGAAGGTGGTGAGGGAACTGAGCTCTTTGTGCTCTGCTCCCTCGCGCATAGAAGGGCGCG